GGCAGCAGCAGCCGCCCGTGCTCGGCGAGGGTCGGGTCCCCACGACTGGGCCCAGCAACGACTGGGCCGACCCTCCCAGGACGCAGCCGCAACACAAGCCCAGCGCCCCAGCCTCCCCCTCCGCCAAAGGGGCGCCGCCTGCGCCGCCACTGCCGCCGCTGCCTCTTGTCCTGCCGCACACAGCTAGCGTTGCCGGCGCTGGCCTGGGCGTCAGGGGGCCGGACGGCGCCGCCGCGGCGCCGCTGACCCTTGTGGCCGGAACTTCCCCAGAGCCCACTGTCGCGCCCGCAGGCAGCCCCCGCGATCCCCCAGCCCCCCTCGCAGCGGCGGCGCCCGCCGCGGCCGCGCCGCAGGCCCCGCCATCACCCCAGGACGCGCCTGTCGCAGGGGCCGCCCCAGAGGCGCTGCTGCACGAGCCGGGCGCGGCGGCTGCCCCGGCCGAGGCCGCTGCGATAGCTCCTGCCGCAGCAGATCGCGCGGGGCCTGCGGCGGACAGCACGGCCATCGCAGACGAAGCTGCGACCATAAACGGGGAGGTACGGGCGTCTCGGGCCGCGGCTGCAAGCTGGGACGCTCCCGCAGCTCTTGCAGGTGGACAGGCGGCGGAGGCGGGCGGCGTGGCGGCGGCGGCGGACAGCACGGCTGCGCCTGCTCAGGAAGGGACGGCTGATTCAACGGCGGCGGCGAACGCAGGGGCGGCAGAGGACCGTGCGGCAGCCTCTGCTGGGGAAGCTGAGGAGCAGCAGGCGGCCGCGGCTGCAAAGGCAGCTGCGGTGGACCAGGCAGCTGCGGCCGAGGATGCGGCAGCAGAGGCTGAGCCCGCTACTGCCAACGAGGCTGTCGCGGCGGCGCGGTCTCAGGCGCCAGCCGAGGCCGCGTCAGCGGCAGTGGCCCCCAACGCCGCGGCGCCTGTCGCTCCGCCGGCAGGCGAGGAGGTGCCAGGCGCTGCGGCGGCTGCCATGGAAGCTGAGGGGGCGGGCATACTCCCGGACGGCGTGGAAGACGACGGGACGGAGCCTTTCGATCTCGCGGCTGCGGCGCTGCAGCCCCAGAAGCCCACCAAGATGCTGGTGAAGCAGCGGCCCGAGCAGTATGAAGCTGCCAAGAAGCTGCTGGTGGAGCTGCTGCAGGTGCTTGCAGGGATGCGCGTGCGTGTGTTTACGTGCGTGCGTGTGTGTGTGTGTGTGTGTGTGTCTCTGTGTGTGTGTGTGTTTGTGTGCGCGTGTGCTCTGTGCGTGTGCATGGGCAAGCCTGCGTGAGCATGTTGCTTTGAGGGATCGCAAGTGATTGTTGTTTAGAGGGGAATGGCCACAAGGGCTGGGCAGCCCTTGGTTGCTTTGACCTCACTGCACTTAGAAAAAGCTTCACGTGCTTCTGGTGCCCCTCCAGCGCTGTGCGCCCGCCAATGGGCGTCATCAAGAAAGGCCCGGCCGCGCCACTGCTCCCCACTCCTCTCCTCCCCTCCCCGCCTGCTCCCGCCCGCACGCATCCCCGCCTGCCACAGGAGCGCCGCGGCGGCTGGGTGACGTGGGCAGACCTGCTGGCCGCCGCCCTGCTGCGCGGCGCAGAGCGGGGCGTTCCGCCGCAGGTGGTGAGGGGCGTCCTCAGCGGCTGGGAGAATGGCAAGGCGCTGCCCGGCGGTGCGGGCGCGCTGCGCAAGACCCCGCGCGCGGGCTCCTCTCCGGCGGTGATGTGGCTGAGGCTCGTGGAGCTTGGCGGCGCCGCAGCCGCGGCGGCTGCCACGGCGGCGGCGGCGCGCGCGGGCGGCGTTGCGGTAGAGGGCGCGGGTGCGGCGGAGGG